ACAACTTGAGAAAAGACTCAATACTGAGTTCAAGTATATTTTGTTGCTCTCTTACTGTCCAGTCGTCCACTACACTCCGTTGTAAAGCTCTGCAGTCCGCACAACAGCCTCTTTAAAATTGTAATTCACTTTTCAACTCGACTTGTAACTCCAAACCTCTGTTCTCTCTCTTCTACTGTGCACGATGACCAAAAATTCCGATATCTGTCGCGCTCTCTTCGCTTCCTTATCTGACAACTACTTCAAGTGCAAGTACGCGGTACTGTGCGTCACCAGCAACCATCAAGTGGCTACGGTAACCTCATTAGCCACTTGAGGGACAAGCATCCCGAGTATGAGACTGACTACGTCGCGCATGCAAGCTCGCTGGCTGCCAATCTACAGTCTTTCGGTTTTGTCAGTGACAAGATTAACAACATTTATCACTGGATGGAGTGGGTGGTCGACCGCAACATACCGCTGTCTGAGGTGGATTATCCTTTTACCCGCTCGATGTCTCGTCTGAAGCCCACCTCCTCCAAGACACTAACTAAGTACCTGAGAGTGGGAATGGTTGGATTTCAGCGTGTACAAGCCAAACAAGCATCTCGAGATGGTGACTGTAGTGTCGTAGTTCAGGAGGTTTTTAGTTCAGACCAACCAACGCCTTGGTTGATCATGGCTTTCCCTCACCGCAGAGTGCTTTCTAACTCTCACAATTCAATCTACCTTGAAAGGATCAATAGGTTATCTGCACAAGCTTTCTCTGTGCTCAACGTGCTACTGTTGGGGTGTCGCGGCCATGATGAGGTGAAACTCCGAGAAAAACCTCGACGGGACCAACTACACGGCATGGAAGACGCGTGTGCAAGCCGTACTGGAGGCGAAGGATCTCTGGGACATCGCAACGCTACGTGAACATCCGCCACGCAATGGATCAAGGCATGACAAAGACAAGTTTTGGCACCGAGAACGTAAAGCTAAAGCTTCTTGCTGGAAATGTTGACCGACGATCTTGTGGTCAGTGTTGGTGTCAAGCGGTACGCCTACCAAGTGCTAGAGTACTTAGATCAAACGTATGAGGCCAAAACCTGGGGAAATCTAGTGGCAATGCGTGAGAAATTCATCTCGCTGAAGTACAAAGACGGACAAGAAATGACGGCGCACCTCTACAATCGAAAGACTCTAGCCGACAAACTCGCCCGCCAAGGGAAACCCGTTGATGACCAAGAGCAAGTGTGCCAACCCTTGACAAGTCTACCCGAGTCCTGGTCCCACTTCAAAAGTGTATACTTCACACAGGACCGCCCACTGCCACGGGCAACAATGGAAGGCAACGTCATGGCCGAATTCTCGAGACGCCAAGCCCAAATGGCTCCAGTAGTTGCTCAAGAACGGTCGTCCCCGCTGTTTTGAAAATGAGGTCTACATGAGGACAGAGGCCTACTTGCAGCGCGCCAGAGTCACATCAATTCGAGACGCACGCAGTCCTATCGATCGATGCCATACCCACTGCAGTCGAGTAATGGACAAACATGCTTCTATTGTGGCAAAGGAGGGCACCAGAAACAAGTTTGTCGGCTCCGCCTTTGCCACCTCCAAGAACGTGGTGTTCCTGAGGAACAGCAAGTCTCCACCGGGCACGCAGCAGCAGCCGTGGCGCCTGTAAGCTCCGCTGACAATGCCGCCGATGTGACAGAACAACTCTCTCCGGCACTCAGAGGAGAAGTATCTGGTCTTTCGGCAGTCGCAGGGTATGCAGCGAAATCAAGCGCGGACAGTGATTTCGTTCCTTGGGTGATTGACTCGAGGTGTACCCAACACATGACGTCCGAGAGGTCGCTCTTTGAGATGTTTGAAGCGGCCCCTGGACGAAAAGTTCTCGTGGCAACGGCCACAATGACTCCTGTCGAAGGTGTTGGTATAGTACTGCTCGCGGTGCAAATGAACGACAGCCATAACGAACGCGTCAGACTCCACAAAGTCCTCTACGTACCGACGCTTGAAATGAATTTACTCTCGGTGTACGAAGCGGCTCAAGGAGGAGCGAAATTTGACTTTCATACGCGACCTGGTTTCGTGATAATGTCACTTGACCATCGCCATGTTACATGTTGCGTTACTAATAAGCTGTACGTCCTGCATTCGGCTTGACCAGCAGCAGCAGCTCTCGCCGTAAGACCGGAGCTGACGCTTGACCTCCTGCATCAACGGCTCGGGCATACCAGCAAGCAGACTCTCCGCAAAATGGTGTCGTCCAAAATGGCCAGTGGCATGGCGTTCAAACAGGAGCAGGAGAATTTCCCGTGTGACACCAGCGAGTTGGGAACGAAGCGCCGCGCTACGTTCAGAATGAAGCCCCGAGTTGACCTGGATGGCTGCAATAACGTTGTTCACAGCGACATCGCTGGACCTGTCGACTTGCCATCAATCAAGCTCGAGCGATATGTGTTACTCTTTGTCGATGGTTATTCGTGATACTGCAATGTGCGGCTGCTGCGAAAACGATCGGAGATGTTCCAGTGCTTCCTGGAATACAAGGCATCAGTAGAGACGAAGCACAATCGTTCGCTTCGACGCTTTGTCAGCAACAACGGTGGTGAGTATCTAGATGGTGCATTCGTCAAGTACTGTCATGACCATGGGATTCAACGCGATACCACAATCGCGTACACACCGGAGCAAAACGGGGTGGCTGAAGTTCGCTTCCGTATTCCCTTTAACAAAGTTCGGACGATTTTGATCTTCCGTGGATCACCAAAGCAACTTTGGGGAGAAGCAGTTCTGGCGATGGTCTACACATACAATCGGATTCTCGCCTCCGGCATTGGCATGACTTCATACGAGCGATGGCACGGTCATCCTCCTGATGTCAGCAACCTTCGGACTTTCGACTCTCTCGCATATGTCTACGTGGCATCCAAGACAAATGTTCAGGGGCGAGCCGGTGCCAAGAGGTAAAAGCTTGATGCCAAAGCTGTTTGAGGCGTGTTTGTAGGCTACGCCGCCAACCAAAAGGGCTGGAAGATTCTCGATTGCAATCAAGGTACCATTATATCGTCCATTCATGTAAGCTTTGACGAAAGCTTCTCTGCTGCAGCTTGCGACCTCAAGCGTCAGGAGTTCCGCAAGCTGGCTTCGCGCCACGCCATGGACTTCGAGTATTACTCTCGGGCCGCGACATCGGAAGTTGACTTGCTTTTCTACTACCAACGATCCACCGAAGAGAAGCCCTTCACCAATGACATAGTACTTCTCGAAGATTTCGTTGCTGGCTTTGACTTGGACTCGGTCAATATTTCGACGACATGGCCACAACTCCGTGCATACTCATCTTCATCTGCTCCATGGGTTCGAACGCTGGTCGGACCGCAAGCGCTTATCAGTGAATCGGTTCATCCAATCATCCGAGCCGTTCGTAAGTAGAAACAAGCTGTGCTCCTTGTGGCGATCGAAAATCTGAAGTGCAAGGAGTCGCTTTGTGCTGTAGTTGCTCAAGGTATGGGCCATGACCCTGCAACTTACCGTGACGCAATGGCACGACCTGATGTGGCAAGATGGAGAGAAGCCACTGATGCAGAAATAGCGTCTCTCCTAAAGAACAAGACGTGGACACGAGTTAACTTCCAGCAGGCAAGCGAGCTCTAGCTTGCAAGTGGGTGTTCAAACGAAAATTCAACAGTGACGGGACTCTCGAGTGATACAAAGCTCGCTTAGTCGTCATCGGGTGCCAGCAGATTAAGTTTATCGACTTCGACGACGTCTTCGCGCCTGTAGTGCACTTGGAATCACTCAGAGTGCTGCTTGCAATGGTGTGCATTGAAGACTTGGAATGTGAGCAAGTGGACATCGAGACCGCTTTCCAGAACGGTGTGCTTGAAGAAGAAGTGTACATGCAACTCCCACAAGGTCTGAAGGTCCCCGGTCAAGAAGGTCTGGTGTGCCGCCTGCAAAAAAGCATATATGGCCTCAAGCAGGCACCCCGAGCATGGCACAAGGCGTTAGTACAGTATCTCACCACTGCTGGATTTGAAGCTCTGCAGTGTGAAGCCTGCATTTTCGTTCGGAGCACAGGCATCAAGACGCAGATCGTAGACATTTACGGGGACGACTTGGTGCTGATCGCTAAGACTAAGGGTGAAGTTGCTGAAATGAAGGCCGGCATTCAAAAAGCATTTCGTGGAAAGGATATGGGGGGACCCGTCAGCTACATTGTGGGGATCAAAGTAGTCCGTGACAGGGCACAACGAAAGCTGTGGATCAATCAGCAGCTAAGTGCAGACAACATCGTGAATCGGTTCAATATGCAGCACGCGTTTGCTACAAAAGTACCATCGATACCAGAAAAGAAACTGCGGAAAGTTAACGGCGTTGATGCAACTGGTGATGTCATGAGTGACATGGCAACGAAACCCTTTAGACAAGCTGTCGGAAGTCTGATGTATCTGATGAACGGGTCGAGGCCGAACTTGCCTTCTCTATCCAGGACGTGAGCTTATTTCTCAATGCTTACGCTAAACCACACTGGGAAGCTGTGAAACAGATTATCAAGTATGTCAAAGGAACTACGGGTCACGGTTTGGGGTTCAGTGGGTCCGACATCAGACTATCGGCTTATTCCGATTCTGACTACGCTGCTGAAGAAGATGAGCGAAAGTCTGTATCGGGATACGTTACCTTCATTGGTAATTGTGCAGTTACGTGGAGCAGCAGAAAGCAACGCATTGTTACCCAGTCAACAGTGGAGGCTGAATACATCGCGCTCGCCCATTGTACACGCGAAGTTCTCTTCATTTGGCAATTGTTGTCTGAACTTGGATATGAGCAGGGGAGACACCGATATTTGAAGACCACCAGACATGCATCGCTATAGCAGAAATCCTACTCAACACCAACGAATCAAACATATCGACGTGTGGTATCACTATATTTGGGAGCATGTTCGAGCAAAGCATATTGCTCTCAAGTACGTGATGTCAAAGGAAAACATTGCTGATATCTTCACGAAGGGACTGGCCAAGGACCAATTTGAGCTGCTGCGTGGAAAGCTTGGAGTGATCGAGGTCAATGCGGTTGCGGGGGACCAAGCTGGCGATGAAGATCGAGAAGGTCAAGCAGCATCATGCGGTAAGAACTCCAAGTAAAGCTTGGAAGAGCTGTGAACAGTCATGTCGCAGGAGTGCAGATGGTTAGCTTGCTGGTCAGCAAACGGGGGTCTCGCTGGTGTGCGAATTGCAAACTCGCTGGAATGCGATGGATAAACTCGCTTGAGCGCGAATGGTAATCTTGCAGGAGTGCAAATGAAGTAGAAAAAAGGCCTGACGATGTTTGATCTGTTAGCAGCGAAGCTGACGAAGACGAGAGTGCTCGCTGCGGGGGAGTGTTGGATTTCAGCGTGCACAAGCCAAACAATTATCTCGAGATGGTGACTGTAGTGTCGTAGTTCAGGAGATTTTTAGTCCAGACCAACCAACGCCTTGGTTGGTCATGGTTTTCCCTCACCGCAGAGTACTTTCTAACTTTCACAATTCAATCTACCTTGAAAGGATGAATAGCAACCATGGCAGTGGAAAACGTCATCGCGGCCAACATGCCACCGGAATTCGGTTGCATGTTCGACGGCTGGCAGTGTTTATCGGAGCACTACGTGGCATTCATCACTATGCACTGGCGCAATGACGAGATGAACTACGATCTACTTGCGTTAGCCCCGTTCGACGAGGCGGACCAATTGGCAGAGTCCCATTTCTCCTTCCTTCGGATATTTTACCGATATTTGACCAAGTCGCGGAAATTTCTGTTGGGCGATAACTGTGCGACCAATCAGAGCATAGCTATACATCTTGGTGTCCCGTTGGTGAGATGTGCGTCTAATCGTTTCAATTTGGCGTCCTATCTGTTTTTGTCCAAACACGAGGACCTGGTGACGGCTGTGGCCACTCTGATGACGGCACTATGGACTGTCAATAATAGCGCGGAGCTCCGTCAGCATACGCAACTTGCTCCGCTTCGTGCCAATACGACACGCTGGAGCTCGACTTTTACGATGCTGGAACGGTACGTGCGAATCAGAGACGCTATCAAGCGCTTGGATGCTGTCTACGATCTGATCCCGAAGCCTGCTATGCGTCGATGTATCGTCGCGCTCTTCGAGACGTTAAAAATCTTTAACAGTGTCTGATAAGAAACTCCAGGAGGAGTCCCTTACGATGACCTCTGTGCGTGTTTTTTTTTCGACAAGATGGCCGAAATGTTTCCCGTTTCAGCTGCGTACTTGTTGCCGGACGTCTGTATCGTCCATTCTCCCGCATTCAAGAGTGCCGTGATTCAGGTACATATGGGGGGGGGGTTCGCACTGGTAAATCTTCAGTAAAAACTCAAGAAATCCTATCCTAACTAAAATCAATGCACTCCTACTCAATAACCCGCAGACGGTACAAGATTTTGCTGTAGCAAAATCGCTACTGCAAAAGTCTTCAGTAGCGGGCATCCGGAAAGCATGGCGAATAAGAACCAATCCACAGGGAAGCAGTTTGATGGCTCTCGGCCGCGAGACCCCAACTGGACTATCGCAGAGGTGCTGCGCCTCATCGAAGCGTGGCGTACAGAGCTTGACATCCCAGTCGAGAACGGGGAGTCTGCTGCTCTCCTGAACGCCCGTATTTACGAGTGGTTCAAGACGCATTGTGGGGAGTCTACGAAGCGAAGTGAAAAAGCTGTGATCGAACCTTCCGATAGCATTCAAGTTCATAGTTTCCTTCAACGACAACCTAGCTGGTTTAATGCTAAACTTTTCGTGAAGCACTGCGAACGATACGCCGTGTGCAGCATAGTAAAG